CTCTCTTGGTTCTGCTCACTTCACTCAGCATCAGACCATACAAGTCTTTCCAGGTTTTTCTGAAGTCAGACTATTCATCATTTCTTATAGCACAATAGTATTCCATCACATTCATATGCCACAACTTGCTCAGTCATTCCCCAATTGACGGGCATCCTCTCAATTTCCAATTCTTTGCCACCACAAAAAGAGCTGCTATGAATATTTTTGCATATGTAGGTCCTTTTCCCATTTATGTGATCTCTTTGGGATATAGCCCTAGAAGTGGTATTGCTGGGTCAAAGGGTATGCACATTTTTGTAGCCCTTTGAGCATAGTTCCAAATTGCTCTCCAAAATGGTTAGATCATTTCACAACTCCACCAACAATGAATGCATTAGTGTTCTAATTTTCCCACATCTTCTCCAACATTTGTCATTTTCCTGTTTTGTCATGTTGGCTATTCTGATGGGTGTGATGTGGTACCTCAGAGTTGTTTTGATTTGCATTTCTCTAATCAGTAGTGATTTAGAGCATTTTTTCATATGATTATAGATGGCTTTAATTTCTTCATTTGAGAACTATCTGTTCATATCCTTTGACCATTTATCAATTGGGGAATGGCTTGTATTCTTATAAATTTGACTTAATTCTCTACATATTTTAGAAATGAGGTCCTTACCAGAGAGACTGGTTGTAAAGATTCTTTCCCAATTTTCTACCTTTCTTCTAATCTTAGTTGCATTGGCTTAGTTTGTGCAAAAACTTTTCAATTTAACGTAATCAAAATTATTTTGCTTTTCGTAATGTTCTCTATCTCCTGTTTGGTCATGAATTCTTCTGTTCTCCTTAGATCTGACAGGTAAACTATTCATTGCTCTCCCAGTGTGCTTATAGTATCAGTCTTGATATCTAAATCATGTACCCATTTTGACTTTATTTTGATATACGGTGTGAGATTTTGGTCTATGCCTAGTTTCTGCCGTACTCTTTTCCAGTTTTCCCAGCAGTTTTTTTCAAAGAGTGGGTTCTTATCCCAGAAGCTGGGATTTATCAAATAATAGATTACTATAGTCATTGATGACTGTGTCTTGCATATTTAACCTATTCCACTGATCTACCACTCTATTTCTTAGCCAGTAGCAAGCAGTTTTGATGATTGCTGCTTTATAATACAATTTAAGATCTGGAATGGCTAGGCTACCTTCCTCTGCCATTTCTTTTCATTAGTTCTCTTGATATTCTGGACCTTTTGTTCTTCCAAATGAATCTTGTTATTATTTTTTCTAACTCTATAAAATAATTTTTTGGTAATTTGATTAGTATGGCACTGAATAAGTAAATTAGCTTAGGTAGAATTGTCATTTTTATTATATTAGCTCGGCCTACTCTTGAGCAACTGATGTTTTTCCAATTATTTAGATCTGACTTTATTTGTGTGAAAAGTGTTCCGTAATCGTGTTCACAGAGTTCCTAGGTTTGTTTCAGGAGGTAGACTCCTAAATATTTTATAATGTCTACAGTAAGTTTAAATGGAATTTCTCTTTCTATCTCGTGCTGTTGGGCTTTGTTGGTAAAATACAGAAATGCCAATGATTTATGTGGGTTTATTTTATAGTCTGCAACTTTGCTAAAGTTGTTTATTATTTCAAGTAGTTTTTTACTTGATTCTCTGGGATTCTCTAAGAATAACATCATGTCATCTGCGAAGAGTGATAGCTTTTTTTCTTCTTTGACTATTCTAATATGTATCTTCAATGTCTTTTTCTTCTCTTATGGCTAAAGCTAATGTTTCCAGTATGCCAATTCTGCTTTTAAAGGCATTCTTCTCCTCATTGGCTTTTTGGACCTCTTTTGCCATTTGGTCTAGTCTATTTTTTAAGGTGTTATTTTCTTCAGTATTTTTTTGGGTCTCCTTTAGCAAACTGTTGACTCATTTTTCATGATTTTCTTGCATCACTCTCATTTCTCTTCCCAATTTTTTCCTCTATTTCTCTTACTTGATTTTCAAAGTCCTTTTTGAGCTTTTCTATGGCCTGAGACCACTTCGTATTTTTCTTGGGGGCTCTGGATATAGGAGCTTTGATTTTGTTGTCTTCTTCTGGTTGTATGTTTTGATCTTCTTTGCCACCAAAGTCTGGTGTCTGAACTTTTTTCCTCTGTTTGCTCATCTTCCCAGGCAGTTCCTTGACTTTTTAACTCTTTGTTAAGGTAGGCTCTGCTTCCAGTGTGGAGGGTGTACTGTCCCAAGCTTCAGGAGTTTTGTGAAGCTGTTTTCAGAGATATTTCTAGGGACCTGTAAGTTTTCAGTTCTTCCAAGGTGGTATGATTTAAGGAGAGGTGTTTACTCTTCTCCTGGCCTGTGCTCTGGTCTGTTAGTGACCACAAGCACTCTCTTCTGCCCTGGAAATGAGAAGAGGATTCCCTCTCCACTGCTGCCAGAAACTCTGCCACACTAGCACTCCTCCTTGCCCCTGGACCGCCACCCAGGACTGGACCCAGATCCAAGCACGGACAAAGCAAGAGAATCCTGCCTCAGAGCCAGCAAAGAGATCCCTGCAATCCCCCTCTGATCAGCCATCTGATCAGCCACCTGATCCCCCTATCATCTGTGGGCCGAAAGCTCTGGAAGCAACCACAGCTGTGGTTACTGCTCTGGGGCTGCACTAGAGCCAGGGCTGGACCACGCTTTTCTCTCACCCAGGTGTGACAGACCTTTCCCACTGACCTTCTAAGTTGCCTTTGGCATTTGTGGGTTGGAAAGTCTGGAAACTGCCACAGCTCCCCTTGATTCACTCCCTGCTCCAGGTTTGCTGAGGCCCGGTCTTTGCCTGCGCAGCCCACACTGACCTGTGCTTCTCTCCTAGCCCAGCGCAACAAACCTTTCCCGTGGACCATCCAAGTTGTCTTGGGCTGGAAATTTGTTTCACTCTGTCTTTTTGTGGGTTCTGCTGCTCTAGAATGTGTTTAGAGTCATTTTCTACAAGTATTTGGAGGGGTTTGGGGGAGAGTCCCTGCTTTTTGAAGTGCTCATTTTTAGTTGAAATTTATTAAATTTGTAATAAATTTAAAAAAATCATTGTAGAGTATATGAAAGAAAAGGAGAAGAAAACTGGGAATGGTTCAACATGCCCACTAGATTTTGCAGGAACATATTTCAAAGATTTCAGATGAAGTATAGGATGTCACAGACTAAAATTCTGTAAGGAGAAATAGGCCGAGGAGTGATGGAAAACTCCAAAAGAATAATATTTAAAAACAAGCTTTATTGATGCTTTTCATTTTTATATTAATCTTCTCTGAATATATATGAAAATAAAACTCCCTTGTAACAAAGAAAAGCAATTCAGAAACCATGTCTGACAATGTATGTAAATAAAAGAATGAATTTTCACTGAAATTTTTTCTTGTTTTATTATGAACTTAAACAAAAAGGAAGAAATTTTTAGGAGGTAAACCACTGTGGTAAAAGACTTTTCGTTCTTTTTCTTTTCTTTTTTTTTTTGCTAGGTAATGGGGTTAAGTGATTGGCCCAGGGTCACACAGCTAGTAAGTGTTATGTGTCTGAGGCCGGATTTGAACTCAGGTCCTCCTGACTCCAGGGCTGGTGCTCTATTCACTGTGCCATCCAGCTGCCCTGGCGAAAGACTTTAAAGCTCAGTTCCTATATTAGCCAGGATGATAAATCTCAGGGGCATATCAAGGTATACTATAGTGCCTAAGCAGATTTTACAAATAAACTTAGTGTAGGGCAAAAAAAAAGAAAGGCTGCAAAGGGATGGGTGGTTTTTGTTTGTTTGCTTGTTTGGTTTTGTTTTTGTTTTTGTTTCTTCAAAACTCTGTTTTAAAGTGTCTAACCAACTTACTCCACTGTGGACCTTTCAGAAATGGCATGTATTAAGCTTGGTCCAGGAGAAGAAATGAGAAAATGCACCTCCTTTCTTTTTTTGCATCGAAGGGGATCTAAAGGTTTGGATGTGGCATATATTGTCAGATATAGCTGAGAAGCTGATTGGGTTTGCTGAACTGATTTCTTCTTTTCTTTTTTTTTTTTTAAGGCATCAATCACTGAGCAAAGGAAGGGGAAGGATATATTTGGAGAGAAAGGTGATATAAAAGTAAAAGTTATCAATAAAAATGAGATTTAAAGGAAAGAAATGATAGGTTTTGGTCCCAAAGCATTAAAATGAATAAAAGGATCATTTCAAATTATAACCCGGCTGACTGGTGCAGGGTAGCAGGAGATTACAGGTATTGTATCAAGCATTCTGTTACCTCCTGACCTGATCCAGGAGTCACTGGTCAAATGATACTCTGGAGAAGACAAACAGGCAAATTTGGGATAAGGTGGTAGGTGAAGAGAATCTTTCATTTTACATTTTTACATGCCATTATGTTGCTGAAATGGTAGAGAAGCTAGAGTGACAATGGTTCATTGGGGGAAAAGGGAAAGGGAAATCTGCACCTGTGACTTCAGTGGTTTAAAGGAATTCTTGGAAACTTTCTCCACTGATGAAAATAGGTAACTCTTTTGCAACTTACAGACTTAGAGAACCTACAGCCTTTGAGCGCTGCCTTGCACAATAAGAGGTGACTTCAGTTATAGAACCAGTCTATATCAGAGGCAGGACTTGAACTAGGGTCTTCTGGACCACAAGGCCATCTTGCAATTCATTATGCCATGCTGCCTCTCTAGTTACATATAGGAATGAGATGACTTGAGACACTAATTTTGTACAAAGATAAAAAGCTGGATTTTAAAAATCGATTATTCTACTTTAGTAATGCCTTTTAACATTGACTCTTTCTGAAACTTTTTATAATGCTGATTATCTTGATTAATTTGCATGTTTAGAAGGTTAAAGAATAAGACACAATTAGAAATCTGTTCAAAATCCTCTATGACATTTAAAAAATTTCCATAATAATAATATCTTGGCAAATAATTTTCCAGAGTATGGATCAAGGTTCAACAAAATATATAGAGCTAAGAGGAAGGGGAAAAAAAAAAGGTCACTCACCATTGGGTCGAACTAGGAGCACAAGTTCCCCTGAGTGTCTCTCACAGCTAGCTTTAATAAACATGACAACTTGATCATGGGTGTGTTCTGCGATGTCCCTGCCATTAATTAGTACAACTTGATCCCCTTCATTCAATCGAGGGACACAGAGGTCAGCCTAAAATATGATGCAAATAAGATTTCAGATTCTCAATTCTTTTTTAGATCAAAGAATTACATTTTATTTTTTGATGGCAACATATCAGAAGAACATTAGATTCAGAAATCCATATTCTAACTACAAACTAATCTAAATGCGTCTTGTATTCAGATGAAAACTAGAGCTTAATCCTCCCTTGACTTCAAGCCAGAGGATATTCGTTCTCTAGTCATGGCAGGGACTAAAGTTGCTTAGATGGTCCTTCTGGGATTTTGTGCTACCTGTCTAGATTATGCAGAGAATTACTGACCAGAAACTAACTATTTACATGTAGCAGTCAGCTGATATAGTTCTGTGTCTATCTTTGTTAAAATTTAGGTGATTTTTTATCTATTCAGGAAAAAGTTAGGGGACACATACCTTCCATATAATTTGAAAAATGATAACGCTTCAGGGGTACATGTGATGACTTTTCACAGTCCCTTAAATAGACTATGAAGAACTTTTTCCAAGTCTGTTCCTCCAGGAGGACTGGATTCATAAAAAGTAGGATTAAAAACTAATCAGGTATGTCAAGTAAAGATTTTCTCTTTACCAATCGAGGTACCTCTTTCATACTTAAAATGCCTTTTCCTAGGTTTGGTACTACCTTTCTTTTCCACGGCAGGCTGCCATTAAAAATTAAATAAACCCAGATAGATCCAAAATTTTTTATTAAAATGATATAGAAGAGAACTCTGAGGATATCACTTTGAAAACTTTTTTTAAAATTTTAAGCTTTCCTATACTGTTGTTGAGGATAACCTATCAATTACTACAAAAGAACATTCTTGATATATTATCTTTAAAGAGCTCTAAAATCCTTCCCGTCTTCACAATTAAAGTGAGTGTGTTTTGGCTTTATTTGCGTCTAGGGGCAGCTCAGTGACTTTCATTCATGGAGTTTGAGAAAGATCATGTGGGTAAGGGGGAATGGGCCACAGGGCCTTCTTCCTTTTTGAGGACATATAACACCCCATAAGTATCTGGCCTTTTTTTGTTGTTGTTTTCCATTCTAGGTGAAAGAAGTGGAGTCTCAGACAGCAGGAGTTCGAAAAGGTTGGAAGAAAGAGCCACAGAAATTCAGGAACTGGAAGCCAGGGCAGGTTTTGCAGCCAGCACAGTGCTGACCCCTAAGGAACAAAGGGAACCTTTGGGAGTAATCTTCAGGACCCCAAACCTGTAGAAGGGCTCATCTAACAGTGATGCTGATGTTGGACTAGAACTTGGTGGAACCTATATTATGTAGAAACTGTGCTAAATTCTGAGTCCTCCAGACACAGAAGTGGTAAAGGGAAAAGTATGCTTTCAAGGTATCGGGGAAAATGTTTTTATGTTTTTTTCTTACTATATCTTTGAAGTAAATATTTCTTTGTAAAAGTCCTTTCTCCTTCTCCTCCAAAAAAAAAAAAAAAAAGAATGTTATGTGTTTTACGAGCAAAGATTGAGTATACCATTTCCTTAGTAGTCTTTCAACAGTAACCAGGATAGTGTCTTGCTTGAGCCAACACTCAATATATGATGAAAATATTCATAACAAAATTAAAAAGACAGTTTTTCTGTTCAGCCTTGCACTAATTATATTTGTGGATTACTGTGTTCATTCTAGTACAACATTTATCTAGTATAAAATACGTACAAAAGCTAGTACAAAAGATATGAGCTCATATTAAAAAAATACTCAAAACTAGGTCATATTCTCTACTAATCAACTGCCAAAATATGGTTCCTAATTTGAAGACACTAATAGTAGTTACTCAACTTAAGAAATAGCAGGGAACCATGAGCGATGAATGATTCATTTTGTTTTGACAGTATAAGTCCCAGCAACATTATACAGATTATGCAGATGGTTTTGTTAAAAAAAAAAAACTTTTTTTGTGCGTTTAAATAATTTTAAGATAAGCTTACTTCATATCTAATGATTTCTTTGAGAACATCTGTCCAATAATTCAAAATAAAGCTTTGCCATTTAATCATATTTTTGAGATTTTAAATGAATAGTACAGCTACAAATAGCTACAATATCCTCTACTATGTTATAATGATGCAGCTTGATTGAATCAACTACTATAATGGACCTCCCAGAGTACTTATTTTCTATGTCATTTTAAGAGCACTTAATTACATTAAATTTGGTGCTACATTATGTGCTGTTTTGTATTCTTATTCTGTTTCAAGTAATTTAATCCTAGAAACTCCTTGTAAGTAGGAAACTTTATTATACATTTCCTTTGTATTAACCACAAAACCTACAGACAGTGCTAGGCACAGAGAAGACATTCAAGAAATAATAAGATGAAGTTACAGAAATGATTAAAAGCACAGAGTAACTAAACACAATTAGGTCTTCGTCATTTGCACTAAGGCAAATGACTGGTAGCACAAGTAATCCCCAAATATAATTTGTATATGGGTTTTAAAAGTGCTTTTCTACTTTAAATGGAAAACATACATATGTTTCAGAAAGTCGTAACACTTCAAAACTAAGTAACCAAAACCATGCCACAGTGAAGATTTGACATATGAAGTATCCATCTGGGAAGTGGCTCTGTTTCTCTGCCTGGCATTGCATAGTAACTTCCTCCTGTGATCCTTACTTAATGCTACAAACAGCTAATTCATGTCTCAGCCTATTACACACACTGCACTATCCCAAATCAAGTAAGCTCCTCTCTATCAGGCTGTTGCTTGGTCACATTCTCTTTCCTACATTAAGCTGTTAACTAGCATTGAAATCTTTTAATTTAAAAAGTTTATTGGGAAGGAATAAAGAAAAATTCTGTTTATGGTGGAAGAAAGTAATTAAGTACATAAGAAACCTTAGAAAGGCAGGCAGGGATCAGGTTTTGAACAGCTTTACAGGCCAGATAGAAGAGCTGATATTTGTAGAGGTAAAGGAGCCAATCACTGGAGTCTATGGAGTCACAGCTGTATTTCTGGAAAAATCACTTTGGCATTAGAGTAGAAGGCAGATTGGTGTGGGAAGAAATTTGAGTCAGGGAGATCAAAAAGGAAACTACTATAACCAAAGTCCTGGGTGAGAAGTGATGAGGACCTAAATGAAAAGTAGTCGTGTGAGTGGAGAGAAGGGGATTTTTGGGAGAGATCTACTGTAAATAACATCAATAATAATTTATAAAGCTAATATTTATACAGTGCCTACTTATGTGCCAGGCACTGTGTTAAATGCTTTACAAAAATTATCTCATTTAATTCTCATTACAACCCTGCCTGACAGGTGCTGGTAATGCCCTCATTTTACAGATGAGAAAACTGAGGCAAACAGAAGCTAGGTGAGTTGCTCAGGAACACACAGCAAATCAAATGTTTGAGATCATATTTGAACTCAGATCTTCCTGACTCCAGGTCAGACACTCTATACACCGTGACACCTAGCTGCATACAGCAGCAGAAAAAAATAAAATTTGGCAAATGACTTGTTATATAGTGTATAGGAGGGTGAGAAGTCAAGGATGACACTGAGCTTGGAAATCTTGATGACTGGAAAAATGGTGGTGTCCTCAATAGTTATAGGGAAGTTGGGAATAGGGATGGGTTTTGGGGAAAAGTAGTAAGTTCTGTTTTGGATATGTTGGTTTTGGGATATCTATGGGACATGCAGTTCTAAATGTCAAAAAGGCAGTTGGTGATGTGAGAATGATGTTCAGGAGAAAGACTAGGGCTGGATATGTAGATCTGAGAGACATCTGAATAAAGATGACAGCTGAAGAGCTTATCAGGTCATAAGGTGTGAGAAAAGAGAAGAGGACCCAACACAATCTTGGCCCACGATCAGTGGGCACAATACACATGATGATCTATGGAGACAAGAGTGCTCAGAGAGGTAAGAGGAAAACAAGGAGAGAACAATGTCATGAAACCTGAGAGTGGCTAATAGTATCAAACGCTGCCAGAGAGTACTGAGAAGAGTACACTAAATTAACAAATCAGCAAATCTAACATCCTCTTTAAAATTTTCAAATATTATTTTATAAATTTTATTTTTTTTTGCTCTGAGCCTCTGATAACCTGTAGTCCCTCTGCCCCCACTGAACCTTTAAAAAAATGCATATAAGAGAACAAAAGGAAGGAATAATCATAAGTTTTTTAAAATTAATTTATTTTGATTTATCAACAATCACTTCCATAAGCTTTTGAGTTTTAAATTTTTCTCCCCCTCCTTCACCACCTCTCTCTTCAAGACGGCACACAATCTGATATAGGCTATACATATACATTAGGATAAGTTTTAAGAGCAATGGATGGTATGTATTCCATATTGTTTTAAAAGTGATACAAAATGAACTATCACTTAATTTCACATACAACCCTTTTCTGTCTCTTGCTGTATATGAAATTTATAAAATAAAACAAAAATTTTAAAAAGAGGATGCTAGATTTGCCAATTAAGAGAATATTAATAAGTTTGGAGAGAGCTGTTTCAGATGAATGATGAGGTCTAGAAGCCAGACTGCAGTGATTATGGGGATAAATAAGAGAGAAAGCAGAGGCACTCAATATAGATTTTTTTTAAAGTTTGGTTGAGAAAGGCAGAAACGGCAGGATCTAGTGAGGATTTTTTAAGAAAGATAACACTTGGGAGTGTTTATGGGGAGCAGGAAAGGAACAAATGGTTAAGTAGAGACTGAAGATTAGAAAGAGAGAAGGGATGATGCTGGGGGCAATCTGCTGGAAGAGATGGGATCAGTGGTACATGGAGAAGGGTTGGCCTTAGCAAAGGTTCTGCCTTTATCAAAAACTAGAATACAGAAGGATAGGTAACAATGTAAATGGGAATTTGAAAAGATGACCTGGTGAATGTAAGTTGCAATGAGGATAATCTGTCTTTGGATAACCAAGAGTTAAATTTAAGGAGAAAATATTCCAATTTATTTTCACTTCCATTAAATGATTTTTTAAAAAAGGTAAAAATCATCTAATTGATGACTGAAATGCTAATAAATTATTTTACATAAAAAATTCCAATTTGCTTTTACTAAAACCTGGAGCTCAACAGAGCTGACTTACCTTTTGCTACTTCAAGAGTTATAACAATAAAATGCCCACTTTGCCAAAGATGTGGCCAGAAAATAAGAGACAAAAATTCACTTGGATTTTATATAAACCCATCCCAAAGGAGAATTTAAGAATTTTTTTTCAGTAACAGATTCAGTTAACATTTCCATTTTTTAATTGATGAATTTAAAGGAGAAAAAATGGTTAATTTCCTTTACCAAAGAACAGAGATAACCAGATAAAGAATATTCCTTTTAAACAACCCCATGAAACTGAAAAATTTTAAAAACTTACTGGTGTTCCTGGAGCTACACGAGAAACTATCACAGGCATCTTCTGATCATATCCACCCTTAGAAAATGTAGTAAAGTTAGTGTCAAATTCATGACAAAGAAAAATTTCTTAACCATAAAGAAAAGTTAATTCAATTACCTTTACATTGAATCCAAACCTTCCATTCTCATCAGGTTTCATTTTGATCAGAACAAGATTATCCTGAGGAATACCACCATTGGGCTAATTAAAAAAAGAAAAGAAAAAGCATGTAATTTTCTTTCAGTTTACAAGAAAAGTGACTAATTCTTCATATTCCTTTGACCCAGAGATTCTATTGTTCAATTAATTAATCAATCATTAAGGAGTTTTTCCTTTCTTTTTTGGGGGGTGCAATAAGGGGGGGACTGCTGTTTTCAAAAGACTCTATCTCCCTGTCTTACCCAAGGTAGAAAGGATTAGTTATGAGCCTGATCCCACTACTGTTCAGCATGGGAGCTTTGACCTACTCCATTTCCAACCTGGGCTGATTTACTCTTACTTAGGCAACCTGGTGGCCTCTGCTCCCAAAAGGCTCTGAAATTAATGCTGAAATTAGCGCAGAGACCCACTCAATAGGTATAGCTCACTGTAGCTTAGAACTCCTGAGGTCAATAAGCAAGTTGGTCTCCTCCCTCTATAGGATTACCAGTGACAGGTATGCCACCATGTCCTCCTAATCAACAAGTATTTATTGAGAGCCTAATATGTGCCAGGCATTAAACTAGGCACTTCTCTCTCTTGGCTTCTGAAATAATACTCTCTTGATTTTCCTTCTACCTATTTCAACATTCCTTTTCTCAGATTCCTATGGTGGATCATCATCACTATCCCACTTAGTCAGCATGGATGTCTCTGAAGGCTCTAACCCATGCAGACTTCTCATATTTCCTCTCTTTATGGTCTTATCAAGTTCCACAAATTCAAACACACAAATGATTCCTAAATCTATATATTTAATTCTAAGTTCTCTTAAAAACTTCAGATCACCAACTGTCTACTATTCATCTCCAATGGAGATATCACATATATCAAGATGCACATTTTAAATGTGGCAGAGGTCTATAATGGAACTCATTTTCTTCTCTGATAGAACCATAACTCCTCTGGATGTAAATGTTTCCACTAAAGGTGTTGGTGTTCAGTCATTTCAGTTGTGCTCGAGTCTTCATGACCTTATTTTGGGGTTTTCTTAGCAAAGATAATGGAATGGTTTCCCATTTCCTTCTCCATTCTGCTAAAGACCTCACCACATTTCTAGTCTTTCAGCTTTGCAACTTCACAGTCATCCATGACTCTTCCTCATTTCTTCTACCCAGTCAAGTGTCAAACCTTTTGATTTGTTATCCCCATCCTTCCCCTTTGTTCTCTTTCTTACACTCGGACAACCATCATCTCTCTCAGGGACTGACAATAATCTTTCATCTAGTCTCCCTACTTACCGTCTCTCCTTTCCTCAATTCATTCTACACATAGCTGCCAAAGGAATTTTCCTAAAACACAGGCACTGTACTGCCCTATTCAACAATGTTCAGTAGTTCCTTACTGGCCTAAGAGAAAATAAAAACTCTTCAGCATAGCATTTAAAGTCCTTCACAATATGGGCCCAGCCTACATCTCTAAATTTGCTTCATATTATTCTTTTTCACCAACACAACAGCCTTGCCAAACTGGCATGTTTGCTGAACAAAATGTTGTTCTCTGTAGTTTTGTACAGGCTATCATCCAGGCTGGGGCATACTTCTTTCTCTGGCCTCTTAAAATACTTAGGTTACTTCAAGGTTTAGCTGATGTTACTACTCTCTCTGCTCCTTAGGAGAAATCGTTTTCTGATACCCCAAGTTCTAGTACTCTTTCCTTTCTCGAAATATCTATTTGCTCATGATAACATGTTGTAGAAATTATTAGAATATAAGCTGTTAAAAGCAGGAATTTGTTTCCTTTTTTCCCCCTTTTTATTCTCTGTATTTAATATGGTCCTTCGAATACAGCAAGGTGAATTGGGTGAAAATGCTATCTTTGGCTTTCCTTGACCCTTCCTCTCATGTCCTATTGTCTTTTCCCTATTCTCTCCCTTTGGTCATGTTTACTGATTTCTACCTTCTTGTCTTTCCATCTTTCTTGATCCCCATTATTAGAGTGAAACTTTAAACTCAAGAAAATGCTTCCCTCTTAACCTATAAATTTATATAACAAGAGACAAAAATGCCTAAGGAATTCGACAAAATTCAACTTGTTAAACTTCTAAGGTTAACAACCACCAAAGGCCCCGAGATAAAGGCATATCCAAAAGTATAATGATTAAGAATTTTTAGGCATTTAAGCAATTTACATAATGGACGATGAACACTCCTGGGACTGCCAGTGAATTTTAATTCACGGTTTGAAATTATGAAATAATTTTACTAAAGTATCTTAATTGAAAAAAATTTACATTCATTTTAAAAAGATTAAAAAAAAAAGCTTTATTTTGGAATGATGAAGTCATTGTTGACATCCCCTCTGCCCCCGACTTTCCTGGTTCCATTCAAGACTCAGCTCAAATCAGACCTGCAAAGGCCTTTCCCAGTCTCTCCTACTGCTAGTTCCATTCCTCTGAGATGACCTTCCATTTTACTGTACATATTATATATGTATGTTGTCCTGCCTATTAGATTTTGAGCTCCGGAATCATGTTTTTTGCCTTTCTTTGTATTCCCAGCGCTCATCACAGTACCTGGCACATAGAAAGTGCTTAATGTTTGTTGACTGATTTGTAATGCTGCTGCCATTGCTAGGAACATTCTACACACTAGGCATCAACTAGGACCTGTAAATAGGAGTTTCCAAAATTTGGCTGCACCGGAAGATGGTGGGAAAACGGCAGTACTATGTATGATTAGATCCATTTGTAAGATATGCCACACATTTGTAAGTGCATAAAAATAACAACACAGTAAAAATATAAAATGAATACATGTCAAGCAATAACTGACTGTAGATTTTTCAGGTGAAGCAGGAACATCAAATGTTTCATTAATATGGTTGTCCAGGTCTTGCTGGGAATGTGAGAAATGAATCTGGTTCCAACTGTTCTTCTTAGATTGTTTAGGTGGTAGTGCAGGAGGCTGCCCATCATCAGAAGTCTCTTGAGATCTAAAACACAGAACGGAAAAATGGGAGAGAGAAGACAATTTTCTGAAAATAGTCAGTAGAAGCATTCAGTTAAAAAAGAGGGCCATATCAAAAAAGAAAAGAAAAGAAAATGAAATAAAAAAATAAAAAAGGCCAAATAACCTACATATTTACAATATTTTATAGAGATGGCTTTGATATAATAATTCTTCACTATCTAAATGAAAATCCATTAACTTCAGATAATAAAGATCTAATCAGCTCCATTGTTGATTAAGTTCTGACTTCTACATATTAATTTACATAAAGTTAAATCTGCATACAAATACATTTTAAGGAAAAAATCTTGAGTAAGGTCAAATATTTCATTTTAGAGTGTTCCTGAAAAAAACAAACAAACCTGAGGCTGCTTTTCTTTTTTTTTCTCCAATGATTTATCTTCTTTCATTTTTTTCTTTACATTTTAAAATTAAAATTCTCTTTTTTATTATGAACTTAATTGACAAAAATGAAAAAATTTAATATACATAAAAGAACATATGAAATTGTGAACTCCTATTATGTAGTTTTAAAACGTATATATTAATTTAACAGTATAGTAACATTCCCAGTTTGTATGGACTCCCTTCTAAACTACTTTCTACTCTCTTCTGCTTAATTCTTAGTATTTTAGAGGAGCCAGTTTGCAACAAGGGGGAAGGGCAATAATCAAGAATTCTGAGGTCAGAGTCAAAGTCAAGGTCTAAAATATCAGGCCAAACTAGAAGACACAGGTAAGGTTTAGAGATAAATAGGTAGGTCCAGAGGTTTCAGAGGTTGAATCCAAACAAGGAACACAGGCAGAAGACTTGTCAAGAATATATAGATTCAAAGATCAAGATATATAAAGTAGAGAAACCAGCAAGAAAGTATATTTGAGAGATCAAGAATTCAAGATGGGCATGAGAAAACAGGTGGGAAAAAGAGTTTGAATAGGGAGAGTTATCTCAGGGTCTGAAATAGCAATGCACATTCATTAAACAAAATAAAATTTTAAAAGCTAACATGTGGATAGTACCTGGATCCTTACAAAGGGTTTTACTCCCAATACAGAGGTAGTTAGCAGAAACAATCATTTCTCATTCTAATTTTAAGAATAAAGAAACAGACTCAGATTAGTTAAGTGACTTCCACAATCAAATGGCCACTAACTGGCTGAGTTAGGCCTCAAAACCATCTTTTGTCCCTAAATCTAGTGTTCTATTACATCATAAATTCGATATGACTATTGATCCCAGGTAATCCAATTTCTGCTCTTTGCCATAGTTTTAAATACAGCTTCACCAAGCCTGGCATGTACAGGTTCTATGCTTTCTCCATCTCATAAGCCACTTTGACATGGAGGTTGGTGCTCTCTATGGTGATAGCCACTCTCAGGGAGACGCTTTGCTAGAGGGGAGATGGTCAGGAACTCTTCTGCTTCAATATTTCACCAGTTCCATAAGGTCATTGATGTAGGTATTCCCTCCCAAGTTGCAACCTTCAAACAATCCACACCTTCTCATTCTGGACGATTTTTATTTGAGTACCCCCATTAATTGTCCACTTATTCACATAGTCCCATCATTCCATGACAGGTGGCCCACATGGAAGCCTTTCTCTGTATGTTTTAACATTACATAGGTAGTATTCCAAAGTTACCAAAGAAAGGGAAGGGGAAGAGAGGAGAAAGAATAAGCATTTACTATGTGTCAGGAATAGTTCTAAGTACTTTACAAATATCTCATGTGAACCTCATAATAACCCTGTGAGTTAAGTGCTATCATAATCCCCATTTTACAATTGAGGAAACTGAGGCAAACATTCAAAGTGACCTACTCAGGGTCACTCATTTATTAAATGTCCAAGGCTGGGACTGAACTATCCAATCCACTATGCTACTTAGTTGCCTAGAAAGAAGAAAAGGGCCTAAATGTACAAATATAGTTACAGCTGTTATTTTTGTTGTAGCAAAGAACTGGAAACTAAGAGAGTACCTACCAATTAAGAAATGGCTGAACAGATTACAGTGTATAAATTTACCGGAATACTATTATGCTATAAGAAATGACAGAAGGAATGGATTCAGAGAAACTCTGGAAGACTTTTTGAAATGAAGCAAAGTGAAGGGAACAGAACCAGGAGAACAATTTATGTAGGAACAAGAAAACTGAGAGAAAAAAAAAATACTTGTTAATTGAAAAAAAAAATTAAGTTAAAAAAATACATATATAAGTACCAGTGTTGCATTCAGGCTATCCATTTATCAGCCCCCGTCCTTGCTCTAAATCATGATCATAATTTCTTAGATAATATCTTTTATGCAACGTTTTACTTTCAAATCTTTTTTTTTGTAACAAGCTATAACCTATTTGAACCTACCATATGTTTCCATTTCTCTTCTGAGTCACCCATCATGTTAATTCTTCAGAGACTGCAGCATTTGTGATTAATAGCCATAAAGAATGAGTAAAAGAATATTGATGTTAAAAAAATAGTTGTTTAACCAGTGTGGGATGGTTGAAAGCACTGTATAAATTTCCAAATAGAATTCAATCTTTTCATTTTTCTGCATTTCTAGGCCTAGCTCATTGTCCATTTGCAATGTCTGCCTACGCTGGACCAAGTTCATAAGCTGAAGAATATCCATCCAAATGCATATTAGAGTCTAGACAATTAGTCATTCTTCATCCACTTCATTTTTCCTGTGGAGACTGTTAGGCTAAATTTCACTGGCTGACTGGATTGTGAGCTCATGCTACAGTATATGCTGGTATGATTAACTCAAATAATTCCAGTTGGAACCTACAGAAACATTCATGGAATATAGTAAGCACTAGGTAATGAGAGGCTATATATCAGGACAGGTCAAAAGAGTCCAGGACAGAAAGTGAGGTTGGATTGGTGGGTAGATCATTTAGTGACATGCCGGAGAGAGGTCATAAGTAGAGAGGTGGGTATGGGGTGGGTGTGGGGGGAAGAACAATTAGTTTAGAAATTGAGTATGCGGGTACTGTTTATCTTAAAGGTAGAACCAAGTAAGAAAGAATCTAAGGGAATTAAGCTCGTCTGGAAGATGATACTGAGAGTCACAGTAGGTAACTTAGAGCGGAACTGTCAAACACACAGCCAGGAAGACCCCACACAGCCCAAACACTCCTAAGCATGGCCAAAACAGATTAAAATGTAATTGGGAAGTATTAAAATACAATAAAACATAGATAATATTAACATGTGATTTTCTAAGTCAATATGCCCCCACAGAGATCTTTATGTGTGGTTTGGTGGCCCTTGTGTCTATTTAAGTTCGACACCACTGATCTAGAGTCTATATTTAGTTCTAAACAACCTGAAGGGCACAGACAGGCAGGACACGTATTAACCGCTGGGGAGGAGGCTATTGAGAGGAATGAAATCCAAGTAGAAAGCGCAGTTTATGATTCATAACAGGTATAAGGAAGAAGGAACATAACAGTTCAGGCTATGATATGGAACAGGATCTCAAGCTATGGAATAGGTGGACAAATCAATATAGCAAAACATAATAAGCACTACTGTACCTTCTGCCCTGGTTTTAGAGAGCATTCCTAATTTGTTTAGGTAAAGGCGAGCAAGTCTGGGCTACTGCCCAGAGTGAAACAGGATTCTACAAGGGTTGGCGACTGAAGTAGGGAGCTAAGTCTTTGAGGAAGAGAACTAAGTCTCTAGGATAGCCTACATAATGCTAACAAAGGTCCCCTTCTGAGCAGTTTATGATTTTAATGCTATTTCTTTTTTTTTATTAAAGTCATGCATACAAAGTAATGAGTTACAATGTTATATAGAGGATAGAGGGATGACCTTGGAATTACAAGGACCTGGGTTTAAATTCTGCATCTGACACATACTAACTGTGTGATGAACAACTGGGAAGTTACTTCAGGAGCTGCCTGAGGCACTGAGAGAAAAGAACTGTAAGCTACAGAGGAGTTACCTATCTCAAGTTTCTCACACGAATGAAAGTACAGGTATTGACCAAAAAAGAGAAAAAGTAACATATAATGACCGATTAGTTAACCTGAATTTTAGCAACAAACCCTTGATTTACTTGCAGTATAACAAAACAAAGCAATTAAATTTGCATCTTTTCATGCCCTAAATTCCTAAGCAGTTATGTTGACATGTGCCCCTAATAAATGAAACTTTTTTCTCAAACAGATGTTATTAGTTATGTTTCTAAGATATATATTCAAAGGGTACTCACAAACCAGCGTAATCTGTACAGAAGCAATGTCTCTCCATTTAACACGTAGTCATTCTGCTGCTTACTTTAAAAAAATTGATCTGTGTCTGCTTTAGCCAGGGATGAGTTTTATAGGCAAACTAAAAATTATAATAAGGGAATTAAAACAGATTTAAAATAGTATCACTAAATAGGCCAGTTCTAATAGTGGTTCCTATTTTGGGGCCAATGTAAAAAATCTGTCAAGTGTAATAGGGTGATGAGACATTGTGTACTAGGGAAGAACAATGAGGTAAGGCAGTGTAAGGGTTGGAGGGAGGGGGGGGCTCTAATTAGAAAGGAGGTTAAGGCCTACCAAGAACTTGAAGGCAGGGCCAAGCAACCCAGCCCTAAAGAATGAATTTCTTTGATGCATAGGAGACTACCTAAGCAGGTCTATCTTACTTACTTATAAAAAGGAAGCAAAGTATTTTCAATTAAAAAAACTGCATATTTTTAAAAGTTTTATTGATTTATATTTACATCACATTCATTTATGAATATAAGATAAGCCCTCTCTCCCTCTTCCTTGCCCAGTGACATAACAAAGCAAAAGAAAAAAAGGATTTCAGCAGTATAACAAACAATAAGACAAAGATAAAAACAATAATTTACTCAGCTGTGAGAAAGATCACAAAGTCAACTTTAACCATTAAAACTGCCAACTTCTCATTTCTGGAAAAAGAGCTTCACTATTTAATTCTCTCACTATATCAATTAAAATCTCTTTCCAAGAATTCAT